TATTGTTGGTACAATTTATTTTTGTTGCCAATATTGTTGGTACCAATAATTTTTGTTACAAATATTGTTGGTACCAATCATTTTCCATCAAAAATTTGTGCTGTTACAAAATATTGCTAACAAAATTGCTGGTACCAACAATTTTTGCTACTAAAATTATTACTAGTGTAATAATATTTAATAAATTTAATAACAATATTCATAATAATAATATAATTAGTAATAATAATTAATAATTATTATCTTTTTATCATTGTTTTATTAGAAATATGTTAATTTAATTCGGGAATTGTCAAGAAAATGAAGCAAAAATAAAAAAAGAAACTTAAGTATATAGACTGAAAGAAAAGGAATAAAAGAGGTGAAGAGTAAAGAATGGGTCAAACAATAAAACCGTCGAGTGCGAGGACGAGATAAGGCGATGTCAAAGGAGAGAGATTGTAACGGCACAATAGAATGAAGAAGCGAAAACTTGCTTTTATACTATAGAAAACTGGACTCCGTATGATGGAGAGGGAGCGTACAAGTTGGAATCTACGAAAACTATGAAAACCCCATCAATGTGACATTGACAAATATCTTTTCTATAACGAAAAACATTTCCCGAGAACAAAATGAAAGAGAAAAAAAAAAGAAATGAGAAACACAACTTTTCTTCCTTTAATCAAAAATTGTTTTCCTCTTTTAATAAAAGAATTTTTCATTCAATAGAATGACGAGCAAAAAAATGAATATATGATAAATGAACAAAACCGCAAACAATATTGGAACAAAAACTTTATCACTATTACTGAAAATTTACTCCAAGGAAAATAAATAATTTTTTGACAGAATTTTTTATTGTCTGTATTATTTTGTTTGTATTTTTTTCTCAGTATTTTTCAAAAGTTTTGAATAATTATAGAATTACGAAAATTGACGAACATCTTGTGATTTAATTCTCCACTTGCGAACGCCAAGGTCACCGCTAGATGGCAGTTTAGTTTTTTCTTGGAATTTCTTCTGCCACCTGGTGGTGACCTTGGCGTTCTCAAGTGGAGAAATTAAATCACCATTTCTTTATTTCTCAACAACTTTTTTTATACTAAATAAAATGAAAAAAAGTTATTGTGGAAATAATTAAAATTCTCCTTCAGTAAAAACTAATTTTTTAATTTCCTAATAAAATAAAAAAAACTTAATTCTTTTTTTTTAATTAAAAAAATGATTCGCAATTTTTCAGACAAAATAAAAAATCGTCAGTAAAGATAGGAATGAAGATGAGAAAAAAAAGTGAATGAGAGAAAGAGATAAAAAAAAACAAAGAAAAAAAATAGCGTAGAATCCAAAAATAAAAAGTGGAGAGAAAGAGGAAGCAGGGAAAACGGAAGCTGGATGAATTCCGGTCGACCGGTCGTCGACCACTGGTATTTGGAGAAGCTGGACTTTGTTAGCCTCGACTCGACGTTTACTCTAGCCCCATCGATCACTGAACGTTAAGCTGCGCCTCATAAATCGCGACGTCGCAGGCGATTGTTTCGCGTATTGCGGATTAGTTTCATCGCACTCGGCTTAAATTGTGCCGAGAGATTCGCGATTTCCGATTCCCCTACAGCTATACATCCATTCCATCACTTCAACTATCGATGCACAATTTTTCTACTCTCTCTCACTCTCTCTCTCTCTCTCTTCTAGAGCCTCATCTCGAAAAACTTTTTTGCATATCAATGCTTCAACCCCCCGCTACTACTCCACAATCCAAATTTTATCTCTCATGTGAACGGCTCTGTGAAAATTTTTCACTATACACCTCACATATTTATTCACGGATTGTAATTTTAGCGCATGCAAAAAATTTAGAAAAAAATAAAAAAGGGAAAATAAAAAACAAATAGTAAGAAAAAAATGTGAGTGAAATTTTTGAGACTAATATTGTTTGTACCAAACATTTTTGTTACGAATAACATTGGTACCAATCATGTTTGTTACTAATGCTTTTGGTACCAACCACTTTTGTTATCAACAATGTTAGTAGCAATCATTTTTGTTACCAATATTGTTGATAATAATCGTGTTTGCTACTAATGTTTTTGGTACCAATAATTTTTGTTACCAATATTATTGGTACTAACTATTTTTGTTATCAATATTGTTGGTAGAAATCATTTTCGTTACCAATATTGTTGGTACCAATAATTTTTGTTACCAATCTTGTTAGTACAAAATTTTTTTTTATATTATTGTATGTATTAAAAAAATTTTGTTACCAGTATGTTGGTACTAGTAAATTTGTGTACCAATATTGTTGGTACCAATCATTTTTGTTAACAATATTGTTTGTACTAATCATTTTTGTTACTAATATTGTTGGTACCAAAAAATTTTGTTAACAATATTGTTTATACTAATCATTTTCGTTACGAATATTGTTGGTACCAAAAATTTTTGTTACAAATTTTGTTTGTACTAAGAATTTTTGTTACAAATTTTGTTGGTACCAACAATTTTTGTTATCAATATTGTTGGTAGGAATCATTTTCGTTACCAATATTGTTGGTTACAATATTTTTTGTTACAAATATTATTGGCTTTATTTCTATTTGTTATCAATATTGTTGGTACCAGTTATTTTTATAACAAACATATTGCTGGTGCCAATAATTTTAGCTAATAATATTCTAGCACTAATAATAATTTATACTACCAATATTTTTGGTATAAATATTTTTTTTGTACCAAATTTTGGTACTAATACTTCTTGATAAGAATAAGTTTTACAATCAAAATTGTTGGTACCAGTCATTTTTGATACCGATATTGATGGTACCAGTTTTTTTAATTTTATTTTCATTATTTTTGAACGATTTGCTTTTGTTACTAAAATTTTTTGGTATCAATAATGTTTATTATTAATTTTACAGAAAATTAATTGAACAATAAATAAATATTTTTATACGACTAAGTATTGTTAATATTAAATATTGTTACAATTAAATGAAATCTAGAAATTAAAAAAAGTTTTAGGGAACATATTAAAATGTAATTTTTGCGCCGTATGTCAATAGATAATAGTATATTGATTTGGGATACTTAAGGTATATAATTAGTCAAATTAGAAACTAATCACAAGGCACGTATTCAAATGATGCAATTAATCGGGAATCGATTAGCCTACATATATACAGACATGAATTCCGAAGTATGAAGGTATTTATATTGAAAGGACTCGATAGGTCAAGGTCAAGGGGAAGTCATTCCGCAACGGAAAGACCCGAGGGTAGAATATTTCCTCCAAGGCTACGCTCTTGATAGAGAAAATTCGTTACAAATTTGCGATTATATAGCTAAAAATAAGCGTACAAAAAGCAATAAATTTTATTCGACAAATAAATCGTTCTCAAACTTTCACTTCCTTACAAAATAAATTTCCAACTTAGAATAATCAATTATATTTTAACCAAATATTGTTGGTACCAACAATTTTTTATTACCAATATTGTAGGTACTAATTTTTTTTATCACCAATATTGTTGGTTAAAAAATTTTTTTGTTTATATTGTAGGTATTAATAATCTGAGAATCTTTTTTCACCAGTTATTTTTGTTACCAATATTGTTGGTACCAATAACTTTTTCTACCAATATTATTGGTACTAATAATTTTCGTTACTAAAATTTTGATACCAAATATTTTGTTGCCAATATTGTTTGTATTAATCATTTTTGTAATAAATATTGTTGGTACCAATAACATTTTCTGCCAATATTGTTGATAACAATAATTTTTTTTGTCAATGCTGTTGATACCAATTATTTTTGTTACTAATATTATTGCTACCAATCGTGTTTATTACTAATGTTTTTCGTACGTATCATTTTCGTTACCAATATTGTTGCTAACAAAATTTTTTTTTATCTAAATTGTAGATACTAATAAATTTTTATATCAATATTGTTGTTACAAATAATTTTTGTTACGAATATTGTTGGTACCAATAACTTTTCTACCAATATTATTGACATTTAAAATTGTCTTTACCTAAAACGTTGTCACCAGATATTTTGTTAATAATATTATTGGTACCATTAACATTTTCTACCAATATTGTTTGGTATCAATAATCTTTCTTACCAATATTGTTAGTACCAATAATTTTTCTTCACAATATTGTTGGTAGCAATAATTGTTGTTACCAATATTGTTGGTAACAATCGTGTTTGCTACTAAAGTTATTGGCATCGTTCATTTTTATTATTAATATTGTTGGTACCAATCATTTTTGTTACTAATATTGTTAGTACCAATAATTTTTGTTACCAATCTTGTTGTTACGAAATTTTTTTTTTTACAATATTATTTGTACTACAAATTTCTGTTACCAGTATTTTTGGTACTAATAAATTTTGTTACTAATATTGTTGGTACCAATTATTTTTGTTGACAATATTGTCTGTACTAATTATTTTTGTTACGAATATTGTTGGTACCAATAACTTTTTCTACTAATATTGTTGGTACCAAGAATTTTTATCATTGAAATTGCTGGTACCAATCATTTTCATCATCAATATTGTTTGAACCAGTAATGTTCAACATCAATATTGTTACCATTATTTTTAGTATCATTCAAATTATCAATAACAATATATTTTAAAATAAGTTAAAACCAGGTCAGAAAATCTGAAATGAACCCTCCTTTTAATTTAATCACAACATTAAATAAAGAACACCAGACAAAATAGCAACACATCGATAAATTCCAGTTCTTTTTCATTAACAATTAAAATAAATTTCTATAAATAAAACAAAATAGCCTATCCACTGTTTTTAAAATAAGTTTATCGAACTCTCTTTCTCTGTAGGACAAGTATAAGATTCTATATTTAAATCAAGAACATATACAGTATTGATCGAGTCTATTCTTTTCGTTTATAGAGTTGGATATTTTTAAACCCACCTACAATTATAAATATAAATTTATATTTGGAAATAATGTCATGTACGTGTTTCTCTCTTTAAAGATGACGACAACAACGATCACTCAATATGAGTTGCAAACTGTTAAGGAGAAAAAGGAAAATTCAGACATTGCTGTCGAAGATACACCACAACTAAAATCTCACGATGCACAGCAACCACTTATTTGGCGCAACATCATTGGCATTGCAATTTTACATATTTTCGGTGTCTATGCATTTGCGACTAGTTGCACGCAGGCAAAATTGGGAACCTGGATATTTAGTGAGTATATTTTGAAAATATAACTTTTCCTAAAAAGTAGAGAACTGTTTCAATTTTTTTGTACTGAAAATACTTTCCACATAAAGAAAAGGAAATAAAATAAATAAAATAATTAAAATAAAATATATTCTCGTTAGGAAAGAAATATTAAAAGTCTTTCTAACTTTCTTGGAGTTATTTTTCTCAATAATAAGTCAAAAAGAATGTTCGCTCATTAAAATTAATATTTTTTAAATAATATATTTTATTTTTTTATTTTGAATAATGAATGTAATGAATAATTGTTCTTTTGGCATTTAATTAATTTTTTAGGAATAATTTTTGTTATTGAGGGGGAGAAAAAAGAAAGAGGAAATCTATTTTGAAATAACATATTATCCAATTACTTCTGTATATCCAATGATTTGATAAATTGGATGAGATTACTTAATTGCTCTGTCAACCTGGAGAATATTTAGTGCCCTTATTTTATGACAAATGATCTTCTGAGGTTCGATTATGTAATTTTATTTCTACTTTCATTTTCACTTTCATTTTTACTTTTATAGATTTTTGTTTTTAGTTTCATTATTATTTTGACAGATATTTATTTTCATTTTATTTTTACAATAGAAGATTTTAATTTCTTTTGTTATTTATTTTCATTTTCATATTTACTTTTACATTAATTTTTACTTTAATATCTTTTTATTTTAGAAGACTTTTATTTTCATTTTCACTTTCATTATTGCTTTCATAAATTTTTATTTTCACTTTATTTTTACTACAGAAGATTTTTAATTTTCCTGATATTTATTTTTATTTTCACTTTGACTTTAACTTTTATAGATTTTTATTTTCATTTTATATTTACTATAAAAAATTTTTATATTTTCTGAACTTTATTTTAATTTTTACTTTAATTTTTTTTATAGATGTTTACTTTTACTTTCATTTTTACTTTGATATATTTTTATTTTTATTCTTACTTGAAAATGTTTTTATTTACCCTGATATTTACTTTTATTTTCATTTTCACTTTCATTTTTACTTTTATTTTTACTTTTCCAACTTTTCCATTTTATTTTTATTTTCGCTTTTACATATTTTCCCTTTCAATATGACTTTAAAAAATATTTATTTTCATTTTTTGCTTACAATTTTCTCTTTGAACCATTTTTTAACTTTTACATTAGTCAGATTTTTATTTTGAAAAAAAATCTATCAAAAAAAAAGAGAATATATAAATGTAAATAAATATCAGCAAAATTAAAAATCTCTAAACGGAAAAATGAAAAAATATCAAAGTGAAGGAAGCAGTGAAAGTAAAAAATAAAAAATCTGTAAAAAGAAAAAGTAAAAATTGAAACCGAAAGTGAAAAAAACTAAATGAAATTACACCATCGCCAAATAAAATTAAAATCACTAACCAAAGAATTGTTTTAAACTTAAATTTCTCTTCACATGCAAACCATTTATAATATTGAAAAAGTAAATCGTCACCTTCTCTTCAGAATATTATTATTGAAATTATTTGTCAGCAGTAGGAGAGATAGAAATTTTTGCATTATATAAAAGTACTTGAACATTTGAAAACACAGTGTGCTCCTTTTTTTTTTTAATTTTGAACCAAGAAAGAAAGTCTCTCGACGATTGGAATAAGGTATAATAATAGATGAAAATTTTTGGTCGATTTCTCTCTGATTTTTCAAGAACATTATTTGAATTGAATTGGAGCGTTAGATATAAGTATGGAATAGGATGCTACTGCAGCTTCTGTGTTTCCCAGACTATATTTTTCTCTCCTTCTCTCAGGCTGTTTTTTATTCACCTCATCTAACTCTGTTTCTCGACTCGTAGTTGTTGGCACGATGCCAGTGGTCGAAAGTTGAAACACGACATGAATATGTACCCTTCGATAATTAAGGGAACGCCGACTTGACCTCGATCGATTTTCGATAATCGTCAGTACGGTAATTACCACCTCGCCATTGCTGATTCGACATGCTTGAAGGTCCTTCGCACCATCACTGATAAGGATTATTATGGACCACATAGATCGTGCACCCTCCCTTCATCCGTTTACCTCCATAATCATATAATGACTGTACAAATATCCTACACTTGCTATATTGATGTTTGCCTACTTTTTTTGCGCCTTCTTTTTTTACCCACATTTATTTAGCTTTTATCTTCGTTTATAAATTCCCGGCGGAATAACTGGAAATTAAAAATTTATCCTAACTCGATTCTACCTCTTTTGCCCCTCTATTAACTGGGAGCTTTGTTTTTTGATAGAATTCTAGACTAAAAACGTTGATACTAATTATTTTAGTCACCAATATTGTTGACAACAATCATTTTTATCACAAATATTGTTAATAAAATAATTTTTTTGTACCAATATTGTTGGTACCATTAATTTTTCCACAAATATTGTAACTTTTGTTACAAATAATTTATTCTACCAATATTTTTGGTACCAATAATTTTTCTTACCAATGTCTTTTTCCACCAATATACTTAGTATCAATAATTTTTGTTACCAATAACTTTTCCTACCAATATTCTTGTTACCAATAATATTTTTACCAATATTGTTGGTACCAATAATTTTTTTACCAATGTAGTTAGTATCTAAAATTTTTTTTTACCAATAATTAGTTCTATCAGTATGGTTGGTACTAATAATTTTTTTTATAAATATTATTTGTTGTAAGTATTTTTGTTAGCAATATTGTTGGTACCAATCATTTTTGTTACAAATATTCTTGGTACAAATAATTTTTTCTATCAATATTGTTGGTACCACTAATTTTTGTTACCAATACTTATTGAATCAATCATTTATGTCATCAACATTGTTGGTACGAATATTTTTTGTTACTAACATTGTTTGCACTAATAATATTTGTTACAAATAATTTTTCTTTTTACCAATTTTTTATTCTGCCAAATTTTATATTCTTTTTTTTTCTCTTAATAAAGGGTAAATTTTGTAAACCCGTTTATATGAAATAAATAAATAAATAAATAAATATTCTTGGTACCAAAAATTTTTTATACCAATAACTTTTCCTACGAATATTGTTGGTACCAATAATTTTTTTTATTAATATTTTTTGTTAGCAATATTTTTATTACCAATATTCTTGGAACCATTAACTATTTTTACAAATATTGCTGGTACCACTCATTTTTGTTACCAATACTTTTGAATCAATCATTTTTGTCATTAATATTGTTGATACCAATAATAATTTTTTTGCCAATGTATTATTAAAAGTTAGTATTAAAAAGACATTTTTCTGTTTTTAAATCTTTCTTTTAATGCAATTATTTTCTGTTTCTCAATTTCATGAGATGAGAAAAAAAAGTTTAGAAATGTTTGTAATTTTTTCTAAAAGATGAAACGTGAGTAATACGACGCGTGTTATGTGGCGAAACGATATATAAATATATGCGAATCAGGTGCGAGATTCGTTGAAATTTTAAAAGCGACCTTTTGAGATGCGGGTTACGTTTTAAGGAAAATGCGAGACCACTTCGCATTTCGAGCTGAGTGCTCCCTCAAATTCAAAATTTAAATAGAACTTTTTACCTCGCCTTTGCCTCTCGTCAATATTTATTCTCTGAATATTGACTAATCTTTTTTCCTCCCCTCCATGAAAAAAGAAAACAAATACAAAAAAGTCCGGAAAAAGAAATAAAGAAGACAAAAAAATGTAAAAGGGAAGAAAAAACAAAACAAAAAAAAAGAAAAAGAAGAAAAAACCGAAGAAGCAAAGAAAAAAGAAGGGTTTTTGTTACAATTATTGTTGGTACCAATAATAATCACTGACGACATTTTTGATACCAATAATTTTTGCTATCAATGTATTTGGTACCAACAATTTTTGCTACCAATATATTTGGTACCAACAGTTTGTTTTTTTGTTAATCATTTTTTTGGTACCATTAATATAATATTGTTGGTACCAGTCGTTTTTGTTACCAATATTTTTGGGACCAATAATTTTCGTTGTCAATTGTTGTGGTAATAACAATTTTTGCTACCAATATATTTGGTACCAACAGTTTGTATTTTTGTTAATAATTTTTTTGGTACCATTAATTTAATATTGTTGGTACCAGTCGTTTTTGTTATCAATATTTTTGGGACCAATAATTTTTGTTGTCAATTGTTGGTACCAGTAATTTTTTGTTACTAATATTTTATTAGTCTCAACAATATTTGTAACAATATTGTTGGTATCAATAATTTTTCTTACAAATTTTGTTGGTGCCAATCATTTTTGTTACCAATATTGTTGGTACCAGTCATTTTTTAATACAAATATTGTTGGTACCAGTCATTTTTATTACCAATATTGTTGGTACCAATCATTTTTCATACCAATATTGTTCATATGAATACCTTTTTCTACCAATATTGATTCTTAACAATCAGTTTTGTTATCAATATTGTTTGTACCAATAATTTTTGTTATAAATATTGTTGGTACCAGTCATTTTTGTTACAAATATCGTTGGTACCAATAAATTTTGTTTCTAATATTGTTGGTACCAGTCATTTTTGTTACCAATATTGTTAGTACTAATAAATTTTTCTGACAAATGTTTTAATACTAATAATTCTTCCTAAAAAAATTTTTGGTTTTAATTCTTTTTTGTACTAAGTAGTAAATACCACGTTTCAAGTATCACTTCGTTTTATTATTTTTCGTTTGATTATTTTTTTGTGACCATTATTGTTGACACTAATAAAAAAATTAGAAAAGAAAACAAAATTCAAGTAAATAATTACCGTTTTTTTTACAGTAAAAAGTGTGTAATTTTTTTTTCTTGTAATGATTTTCAAGTGGAATGAGAAAGAGACAGAGAGACTTGACAGGAAAGATAAAAAATTAGTCCACTTGACACTATCGAATGAAAGAATATTGCTGATGGAGAAAAATCAAGTGCACTTACCTCTGTGTCGAAGGTCGGAACAGAAAAAGCAGCCCTCGAGACAATATTCCTTTCCGTGAGCAAACAAAACTCCCATCGATAAAGTTTCTGCAAAAAGAAAATAACAAAATATTATTAGAACATAAAAATAAAAATTTTCACATGATATATCGGAAATATTTCTTTTTAAATGAACAATTTCATTTTTCTCTCTATTCAATATTTTATATGATAACTGTAAAGCAACTGAACTTTTTCTTTTTTTTTTTTTTGCTTTTCATTAATTTCCAGTTAGATAATTATTATCATTAAAATCGTACAAGAAAAATTACTTTAACTTTTATTTCCACTTTAATTTTAATTTTCACTCTCACTTTCACAGATTTTTATTTTTACTTTCATATATTTTTATTTACACTTTCGATTTTATTTTCACTTTGAAAATAAAAATTTATCAAAGTAAAAATAAAAATCTATCTAAGTAAAAATAAAAATCTATCAAACTAAAAATAAAAATCTGTTAAAGTAATAGTGAAATTAAAAGTCAAAGTAAAAATAAAATTAAAAAATCCACTCCAAAAATATTTTTTTTAATAAAACTTCTAAATCCACTTCTGAATACATTTTTTTTCGAAACAAAACTTCTAAAAAAGTTTTCTTTTTTGTAAACAGCTTATAGAAAAGTTTCTCTATTTTTTTGAAAGTATACATATGAAAAATTCAGTTATTATTATATCCACTTTAGAAGAATATAGAATTAAAATAATGACACACAAGCCAAATATTATCAGTAATGGCATAATAAAAAGTTTTAAATATTCTTTTTACGTAGTTTAATTTGATCAAGTTGAGATTTTCAGTTTTATACTTTCTTTTAGGTCCACTATACGGTATATCAGCGGGCTTAGGTATCACGGCTGGGGCTCATCGTTTATGGGCTCATAGAAGTTACTCTGCAAAGTTACCGCTCAGAATATTTCTCGCTTATCTGTATTGCATGGCAGGTCAGGTAAGAAATCTTCATAAATTACTTTTTTCTCTTTTTTACGATTCACGAATTAAATTTAAGTTTGCACACATATTAATGATATGGGCGCAATGAATTGTTTTCTCTTAGCTCTAAAAAAAAAGAAGAGGGGAAAAATTACTATTAAAAAAAACTACCAAAAACCTCCTATTAAATAATACTAAAAAAAGAAAATACTACAAAAAATACAATTAAAATTTAAAAAATATAATTAAAGTTAAAAAAAATTATTACATAACAATTTTCACATTTCAAATTATTATTCAGTGCAAACTTGAATTAGTGAGGAAACTAAAAAAATATATGGGAATTTTCTCTCCGACTTTCTTCTTTAATTAACTTTTAGCTTATTTAAACTTTTCACATTAGAGTTCGAAGGTTTTCAAAATAAATATTATTGATCGAAAAATAGCGAATTAAAAAAGCAAATTTCGTTACGACTTTAAGGCGTACAGGAAGTAGACTTGGACAATTCAAAAAAGAAAAATAACTAATTTTATTGTCTAAATTTTATTAGTTAATATTTAATTTTTATTAACCATTGTGGTATTATATGGAAAAAATTTAAAAAAGTTAAATTTTATTAAAATCAATTCAAAACAAAATCGAATTTTTGGAAAATAATTGAAAAATAAACGAAAAAGTTTTACAAAACGGAGTTTGGACTTTTTTCTCCTAGGGGAAAAAACGATACTTTTCCACTTGTGGTCAATGAGAATATTTCATTTCCAAGTCGAAAACAAACCACTTTTCCAACTAGTGGTTAAAAGTACTGTTTTTTGCTAGAAAAAAATAAGACACTTTACCCACTATAGTGGAAAATACTACACTTTTCCCACTAATAGACAATGAGGATATTTTATTTACAAGTCGAAAACAAACTAGTGGTCAAAAGTACCGGTTTTTTTTGCTAGAGGAAAATAAGACACTTTTCTAACTAGTGGTCAAAGCAGTGTTTTTCCCCTAGTGGAAAAAGTGACCCTTTTGTCCTCTTGTGAAGAAAAACTCTCCAAATAAGTCGAAATACGATCCTCACCGTCACGATACAACTTTGACGCTCAAAAAAGTCGTTTTATTCAATATTAAGTATAAAACATTTTATTTTTTAAATTTTATTAGCTACATTACTAACAATACACGAGTGAGAAAGTCGTCTTTTTCGAAAATAAGTAAAGCCTTTTTTGAAAATAATTGAAAAAGTAAAAAAAATGTCAAATAATCGAAGACTTGAAAAAGAAAAACCGCTGAAACAGGGTGTTAGAAATAATCCCTTTATTTAAACTCAATATAAAGAGTTTTCTTTTTTTTCAAAAAAAAAAAAAAAAAAAGTAAATTTAACTTGGAAAAAAGCAAACGATAACAATGTGATTTGGTGCCTTTTTGTCGATTCAAACTTGAGCAATAAAAATCAACCAAGGGAAAAATGTGTCTCGATACAAGTCTCTCTTTTTCCTTCTTTCTCTCTCTCGAATGGCCCCTTATCCACTTCTTTCCCAAGAGAGAGGAAAAGCCTTAAGCCAAAGCGAAGTACTTCTTAACGCTTGGGCTCTTTCTCTCTCAATCTTTTTCTTCGTATCTTTCTCTCATGACGTTGCTTTTTGGTACCGCCCTAGTTTCTGTTTCTGCAGTGAAGAAAATGTTGAAGGTCTTACTTCCCTTTACGATTCGAGTCATCTTATAGGAAACCTCCCCCCAATCTCTTACCTAAAGAATTCATTTTAACACACTGCGTCACATACATGTACCTATCTACTAGGGCACGTATTTACTTTAAACAATTTCCGTCGTTAAATCACGAACTCCAGTAGTGGAAAGTCGTTGAGAAAAGAAGTGAATTGGGAATTTGTTTAAAAGCAGTCATGCGAATTTAACGACTCCATCCTTTTATCCACTATAAAAATAAACTTAACTCAACATGTTCTACTTTTAAATTAATTCCAACCGTATTGATTAGAAATTGCTTTTTTATTTCTTACTTAAGAATTTAAAGTTTGCTTCAATTTTAAAATATTTAAAAATATTTTTAAGTGCTTTCGCTAATACCTTTCTTTACAATAAGTTTATAAATTTATTAGAATTTTTTTTTAATTTAAGAGATTTATTATTTTTCTGATTGACTCTTTAACTAATTCACTGGCGAGGCGTTTCAAATGGTGTTCCTTCTGCTGTGGCTGAGAATTAATTTAAAAATAGAACAAAAAAAGAATCACTTCGAAAAATAATTGCAATTAAAAAAAATATTGTTGACGTTTAGAAACGAACCGTAGGAGAATATTGCAGAGTATGACTAGAGGTACTCTCTGCGCTCCGTATTTATACTGCCGGAGGTGCGACGTAGTGGGGAGAGCGCGCTGATTGGTCTTCCCCCCTCACAGCGCGCCACGGACTTATCACAGTCACTCCCTCCCCACCACAATCGTTCCGAAATCGTATATAAAGAGCGTTGGGGAACTGCAAACCTCACTCAAGACTCGACCACCAAATCGCAATACAAATAATTTTTTTCCAATCGAAAAGAAATTCATTCATTTTTAACTCGAATTAATATTCGACAATTAATAACCAAATATCAATTTGTGTTCAATTAAAAAAGAAAATTAGACCTAGAAATAAATAGCCATTTTTATTTCCTAAGCTATTTGAATAAAATTTCTTCTCACTCAATCAGATTCGAAAGATTCTAGGGACTTGGTACTATTTACCTTGATGTTAATGCTCTCTTCCCTTTCGTCTCGAGATAAACCTTTCTAAGAAAGATTTTACAAGTGTATGGAGAATACAATTCTATCTTCAGCACTACTTGAACATCTCTCGAAGCCTGTCGAGTTTGTGTTACTTCCTCTATTACTCTACTTTCAAGTTCGTCGACTGAGAATTCCCTTTATTCTGAATCTTAACAACTCACTGTGGAACAAAACTACCATTTTACAACTTTTTTTTCTCCTTCCTCTTCTGCTTTTCACTGCATGTAATTTTCAACAAGTTCGAATTATATTTTTTCCCTTTATCAAGCATGGGATACATTTCCCAGTAAGAAGAAAGAGAAAGAATTATAGAATTTTGCTAGAATGATTATTGAGCTTAAGGGACTATTGATACATTTTGACAGATTTTAGACCTCACAGGATTATTGAACCAAAAAAAGTAATTATTAACATAAAATTGAAATACAACTCAAAAAAGTAAAAATAATTAATGACACTTGCGACTAATTAGCTATTAGAGATAAATTAACAGTTATTAGAATTTATTATTAGTCACAAGTAAAAGAAACCACTTTTTTAGTAAACTAAGAAGTAAAAATAATTGACAGTGTCAAATACTCCAAGGCATGAAAAGATCAGGTTCAATATAACGATTTTGTATTAAAGTGGATTTAAAAACACGATGCCGAAAGTCGATTCGATGGTTTAGCGCTTTTTCTCCTTTTTCCTACTATCATGAGGAAGGTAGCCTTTCACTGTTCCCTCTTTCCCCATTCTGTCTCTCTTTCTCTCTCTCTCGATATTCTCTTCCTCTCTTCTCGTACCGTTTCTCAATCCTATATCTTCCATTAAATCCTGACTACTCTTCTTTATACTCTCTACCCCATGCGCAACCATTTCCGATTTGTTTTATTTTTCCCTCCTTTAACCCCCCGTTCTCGTCTTGGTTCGTACTCGATAATCGTTTTACCTCGAGAATTTCAGACAAAAAAAAGAAAAAAGGAGAAGGAAAGTATTAAAAAAAGAGTGCCTCTCGACGCTAACGATATTCGTACCTTAACGAACTTTTCCTGGATCTCCGTTACCTTCCCATTAGAGGGAACTCGGTTCACTTTTACATTGTACTTTCTTCTTTGAGATGAAATCCTTGATTCTATTTATAAAACTAGAAGTAATTTTCGATGATCACCGCAGTTTGCGTCAAAATTAGTGCTAATGAAGTTATCCCTAAAGCGGGAAAGATAGAATTTTGAATCTTAATGAAGGTGAATTAAGAATTTTTTTCTGCCGTACGATATCGACACTCTCTCTCTTTCTCCTTGGTGGGAATCTACTTTTAATCGACGCGGTAATCAATAAAAAGAGCTCGTACTCTTAGCAAAAAGATTCAAAATTATACTTCGTTTGCGAAAGTTAAGATACTTTTTACTAATTCTGTAGAATTTGCAGAATAGAAGAAAAAAATAAATAATTATCTTTCTGAAAGAAAATGAATAAAAACCGAAAGTTTGTGAATAATTGTAAACTTGTAGTGATTTGGGTAACGAACGGTTCGACCATTTTTGATCGAGTGATGATAGTGGGGAACGGGAGGCCCGTTATATAGTGGCGTCGGTACGGCGTGGTGGGGAGCTGAGCGCTCATTGGCTCTAGGCGGCTCATGCGCGCCACTGGCCAATGCGGACGCGCTGCCCCCACCACGGCGTCATTTCGGTTCGTATATAAACAGACGGAACTCATCATCATCGCTCATTCTAAATCTGCCGTCGCGTCGTCGTTTTTAATACGTAATTAAATCTCGTTCTTTCTTTAATATCCACTGTACGTTATAATCTTTTTCTTTACCGCTTTTTCGTTTTTCTTCTTCTCCTCTTTTCCACAACTTTAATTCCCTCTTCTAATGAAAATAAACTTAATTTAAATTTCCAAAATTAACAAGTTTAGATCTTGTTAATTTTCAGAAACTTAAATTATAAAAGACGAAAGTTCGTAATTTGTAACTACAAAAGACTATAGTAGTAATTAAAAGACAACTTCCAGTAATTAATAAATTGGAAACAAAACTATTTCTAAATGACTTTTTTTCCTCTTTTTCAAAACAACTTATTTTTGCTGAAAAGACTGAGGAAAGAAACGTACCTTAACAAGACCAATAAACGATCTTTTCATCAGTTTTTCTTTATTCCTATTTCTTCCAATTGCCGGCATTTCAAAGTTTTTCTCATTCTCCCCGAGCATCACGTGCTCTCGAAGGTCGTGTACAGCGTACGATATACA